GGAGGCCATCGCAAGTAGGTTGGAGGCCATCGCTAGTAGCTTGGAGGTCATGGCTATTAGGTTGGAGGCCATCGCAAGTAATTAGGTTGCAGGCCATAGCTGGTAACCAGAGCTACTTGCGCATTTAACTGCTTGCATCAATCAATCACCACCCCTGCATGTTTACACTGATGGAAGCTGTCAGCATCCCACTTTGCCGACTCTTCGTTACGCAGGTTGCAGTGTGGTCATCGACTCGTGTTGTAGTGATGCGGGTCGAATCTGGCCAGCTCAGCGATACAAAGAAACAAGTTTGTGGCCCTCCACGTTGCGTGCGATTTTGCAGGAGCTTTGTCCACAGGAACAGAATATTCACCACGCAGCGCTGCGTGGAATCATTCGCGCCCGTGAGCTTTTCGTCATGCCATCATACATGTGGATTCCTCCAGCGCCATTGCCACCTTTCGTGCAACTGTGCATACTCAGGGAAGGCAACTCCACAGACATGTACAGCCTGTCTTGCGCCAACGCATCCAACAACTTGAGAATTTGGAGTATAACCACATTGCAAAATTAAGGGCCACGCTGATGCGTCCTCCTTGCCTGACTTGGAGCGCTATCATAGCCTAGGCAATGCGGTGGCAGGTCATGCAGCAGAGGATGTCTGCCTCCGAATGCTGCCTGCTTTGACAGAAGGGTGGGAATGTACCATCCACAATCGCCAGTCTGAAGCCAATCACCTGCATGAGTTCTATCAACTCTCCCTGGCTCTGCAGAAGCATCGTCAAGACTTTGTTTCCTCGGCGCCGGCCTCCATCAATCCAGAAGAGCCTCTCCAGCACCGAGCTGGAGCAATGGCTGCATACTTGGCCTTTTGGCAGGTGTCTCAGCCTTGGTCCTTCTCCCTGAGGACGCCAGAAAGAATGCTTTCTTCTCTCATGGCTATTGGGGCGCGCGTCTCTTGGATTGTGTCTTGCAATGGGTCAACGCCCTGTGTTGAGCTCCTGACGCTGATGCAGTGGAAAATGCCACTATTGGCGTATCATGGATGGAACTTGTGCTTAGCTCCATGTTCTTTTCGCATAGTTACATACCTGTACATCGGAAGAACTCGCTCTTTTGCTTGGGCACATTCCAGTGCGGCAGCCCGAGCCTTCAGCTATACTTGGAACGAAAGTACAGCAAACGATCTCTCTGAGCGGTTGTGCCACACTCCCCAGTTATGTTCGTAGTGCCGGAGTGTGTTCACTTCACCGGCAGGGTGCTGGCACATGCCTTTTTTGGCAAGTTTCCCTGAGCAATCACGTGTGTGTCAGATCATTGAGCAAACTTTCAAGCAACATGCTCGACCAGCTTCGTTTGGTTGGTGGCCTGAGTTCGATTTCCCATGGTCTGCATCGGATTGTAAGTTTGAGTGGAATCCTCCTCTGGGGTCGTTCAACGTACTCCAGAAGAAACTGAAGCTTGGCAATCGTCTGGCCAAAGCTGCTCGGGCCACCGTTTGACCTTCGTGGTGTTCTACATCCTGGCCTTTCTGTTCTGAGCGAGGTGCATGTCTTTTCTTTTCGCGCTTGTTTCCGGTCTGACACCCAGCCCGAGCTAGGGGGGGGGGCCCTCTTGCCAAGGAAAAGCCATAGCTGGTAGTAGCTTGGAGGTCATTGCTATTAGGTAGGAGGTGAGTTTGTGGTTCTTCCAAGGAGTGCACACAGGTTTTTCCTCTGCGATCTCCGACATGTCATAAGAGGCCTGGGCACGTTCAAGGACCCTGCAGGCCCGCCGGGTTCGTTACCGGCCCACGATTTGGGTTTGCACCAAAATGCCAGAAAAAGGCATCAAAAGCACAAATAGCCACAAACGTGGGCCGATAAAGAAGCCAACAGCAAAAACACACTTGCACACAAACAAACGTGCCTGGGATATGCAGCGCAAAACTCCAGACCTCGTCAGCGAACTGCTGCAACCCGATCTACAGTCAGCAGCGGAAGCCAAATGTTGACAGGAAAAGTATGCGCGCAGTCGCCAGGCCAAATTTTTGGTAAACCCTCTACAAACTCAACGTAAACCATTAAAGTACACTTGTTTTGTTATAAACCACAACAAATCCAAGCGCGCCCATTAGCTAGTTCAACGTCAGGTCTCTATGAGGGTCTCCGCATCAGAATGTCAGGGTTTTTAGAAATCTTTTCAGCGTGTGTTTGGATGTTAAAATTTGGTACCTCTTTCATGTTCTCCCCTCTCCAGCTTTTCACGACGAGTTGCGTAAACACTGTTGATGGAGTGTCAGTGCGCCCTTCTGGGCTGTGGCAAGCTTCCACCCGCTCTTCTGCCTGCACGGGAAGAGGTTCCACCAAGCGCTGGCCGTGCAGTGCGTTCCAACTATATCAACTAAATGTCTATATAACAGTCTAACAAGTGCAAAGCAGTTCCATCAGAGGTTCCCATAAGAAAGGGCCCCAAAAATGTTTAACTGTTTAACTCATAAACATAGTTATATAAGGGAAGTGCACAATATTCAATCGTCATCATGTTCAACAGAAACACACCCAGTTTGGTCAGTCTTGGCTGAATTGGCGTCTCAAGCTAGTACCAATGCGAAAGCTTAAAAAAGAAGAAAAAAAAAACTCCCACCGGGTTGGAAACCGAACCCGTGGTCGCATACATTCCACATTAGCACGAAGTGGTTGAGTGATGTAATTAAGTCCTCATATTTTTGTTTGAGGTTCAGGGTGGTTGAAAACAGAAGAAACCTGACTGTGCATACACAAACGCACTCCGTTGAATGGGACAAGCAGAAGTTGTTTTTGTTTTTTGAGCATCGTTTCTTGACAACATGTCGGGAGCGTCGGAGCTGCGACCTTGAGCTGCGGATGTGAATTTTGGCTGAGATTGTTTGTTTTGGCGGTACTTCCCTTGTGCAACGTGCGAGAGTGTTTTTGCTTCCACCAAAAAGTGTCCGAAATGATGCGACCCTCTGCCGTGTGCCAAACTAAAGAGCGAGTTTTGCGTGGCCGTTCCAATGGTGCGGCACATATTTCGCAAACAAAACATCCATGAAAGAATCGAACAAAATCATCCAGCCCATTCCCCCAGTCTCGAAACATGCCAACAATCATGTTATTTTTTATGAATGGCCATCGAGTTGGAAAAAGGTCAAAAATTAGGAAGTGAGCACCACCATTACACGTTCGGTTTCCCACCCAGTGGCAAAGACATGATTCAAACAGCATCCAAACCTCAGCAGAGTTGAACATGGGAGATAAGGCAAGGCCAGCTGCTTTGGGGATCTAAACTAAAGCAAGCGGCAGACAAAAGTACAATCATCATTTGGATACTTAAACCAGTTGAGAGAAGAACACAAAGAAAGGCAAAGGCAACAAAAAGCAAAACCAGCTTTGAAACAGTCCAAAGCCAAGAATGGTGACCGAAAGTAGAACGTGCTCAGCTATATGACCAGGGATGGACTTACCTTATACAAAAATGAATGCGCACTCTCTAACCATCACATCTCCGTGCATCCTTTTCCAGATCTTTTGGGTCAATGCCTTGAGCACATTTTTCATGGCTTTGGCCTGGCCAAGATTTGTAAAGAGCGTTTCAAGAAGTAAAAGGCTACGGAGCGTAAACTGCCTTTCGCGGAGATGTTGCCCCGCGGCTTTGGAAGAAGCAAAACACACCTCTGGGTGAGCAGAAGGGCCACAAACTTGCAGCAAAAAAACATTGCTGCAAAGCGCAGTCAAGTGGCCAGCCGCGGTAATGAAACATAGACCTTGTGGAGACTCATGGGTCTGCATGCTTCCTGTAAGACCCTTCAAGCAAGCAGAAAGCCAAATAGTTAATGTCAGTCTCCAAATTCAGTCTGGTGGCCAGCTACAATAACAAGCTGTCGGTCTAGCGAGGCCTCAGCGTGTACGGATATTGGCATGCAATCACTTGGAATAGATGCCTCAAGTGACTTTGGCTCCAAGTTCCAAGCTGTTGTGTTGAAACTCAGACTGGCAATCAAGCCAGTCGCACAGGAGCCACCTCAAAACACATGAAAACAGACACCTTCCCAGTGCAGTACTGTGCGGCTCAGTCCATGGCAGAATGGCAGTGCGGCGAAACACCTTGCAGGGACCGCGCACTCCCAGCGATTTAGGAAGTTCCGAACTGGAACAAAATCGGAAGACATTTCAGAAGACTTGAGAAGAAACGTGCCACTTTGACTAAAACAAAAATGATATGATATGTGTCATTTTTATGAGTGAGCCTTCGCTTCATGCGCTTCTGCACCAATGTGGGCACACACCCACGCAACTCCTTTCGGCCTACTACACCGCTAGTCTATCCGGGTTTTGTCGCATAATTAAATACTCTCCGATTTCTTGATCTGGAAGCTTCTTCAGCTGCACTGCTCATTTCATTGACAACCCTCACGTCTGATCCACGGTGCTGCGATAGTTTACACATCCATCCAACCCGATCCCTAACACTTGAATCAGCAATATCAATCTGAAAATTCGCTCCTACCACCTTCACTTCTTGCCATTCAACTTGTCACATGTTCTCAAGCAAGCTGAAAAGCGCCCTCCGCTCTTGCTCTGCTGAGCATGCAGCTACCCGACTCGGCCCTTGCACTGAATCGGCGCAGCTTTGCATCAAGCTCCTCAATAGTTTCTGAAATGATTGTCATGTTTCATGTTTCATCCTCCTCCTTTGTTCTTCTCTTTAGAGATTTAGGAAAGACCTTTAAAGAATTCTTCCAAAAATTGCTTCATGGCAATTCTTCCACTTGATGACCCTAAGTCGCTGGCGGATCTGCCACGTTCCATCTCGAGCTTTGAGTTTGAATAGTTTACTTGAGCAATGTTTGGCATCTCAGGGCGCTTCTTTTGAGACTCTGTTGGCTGGATGAACATTGAGGATGAACATCTCAAAATGACTAGAGTAGGGGTAGGTTGTTTCCTTGCTTGCTTGCGTGCTTGCGCCCTTGCTCCAGCATTTCTCCACAAAAATGGAGGCAGCAAGTCGGCAACGAGACAAATCTTTGCTTGTCTCAGGCTATGTACAAAAGAGAGACGGACCGAATGCCAGAAAATGTCACCAGTCGGCTGAATGGGCCAAAGCTTACTGTCCCGTCAGCTCAACTTAGAGTGACTGCATATAGTTCCCTAAACATTGCTGGAATTCACGCTGCTGTGCCTGAATCGGCGCGCAGGGAGGCAGGGAGGCAGGGAGAGACAGAGACAGAAAGACTTGCTGACAAAGGCCTACTGTAATAAAAAGAATCACACTGGGTAGGGTCCCAAGGTCCCCAATCCATCACAATGAATTCTTTCGGGTTAAACAGAACAGTCTACCGCCAGGTTTCTGGGGTGAAGTTAACATCAGGATGCTCGCACAATGACGAGCCTCCAAAACGGCCGCAGTCGCCCTGAATGGCTGAAGGGCTTCCTCTCGAGTCACATCGCACTTTAGTTACAAAGTTCAAGGAACTGTCTCAAACCAGTCTCCTTTGAGTATCCTAGCAAGAGAAGCTCACACACCACTGGAAGTAGCTACTGCAACAGCAATGAACTGTTGGATAATTTTGGGGATTTCTGCTTGACGCTACCTTGCCAAACCTTGTAGAGTAGTTTTCACTGTGGTTAAGGTTACATGGGGACAAGTAGTAGCAAAGCAAAAAACAGTCGTGGCAGTGATATGGCTGCAACAACAACGACAGCAAGACTTAGGAGTCTAGCACAGAAGGCACCAGCGCCACCGGCAGCGGCTCTTGCAATCTTTAAGCCAATGCATTTAGCGAAGGCCATAGATCCCGGCCCCGAACAGTGGCTGACCAGACAGACAAACGAAACAGCAAAGAAGGAATGGCCCAACAAGAAGAGGTGGAGGACCGATGCGAAACCGCAAAACCAGGGAGAACTGCAGTGCCGGACTGAGACTAACTGGGAGATACTATTAGGAGTGAAAGCAGGAGACGAATGGAACACAACTACCTCAGGATTGAAAGATTCCAACCAGGCCACCAATTGTAGATGGATGTTCTGCCCTGGAAATCCGAGTCTGCATGTGGGGACATTCAATTAAAGGAAAGGAAGCGAAAACCCTTGAAGCGAACACCACCCCAGGCTGGGAGACAAATGCATGGTAAGCAAGCAGAAAGCAATAAAGCACCAGAAAGCGACAGGGCTGATGCGGATACACGCTCAGAAAGTACTCAGGACCTCAACAGCAAATGAAACCAATCTTTGGAGGTTGTCACTGCCGTCAGGGTTGTGTGCTCTAACTTAGAACTCCAATGCCATTCTTTATCATCCACCACTGCAATGCTTTCTGTCAACTTGCACTTGTAGATATTGCACCTGCAGAAAAGCTGTATGGGTTGTGGATCTATGTGAATGTTGTACTTCGTTCCATGGTGAGAGCTGGCCATGCAGAAGCAAAGCCAAATCCAGGCTCATTGAGTCTTCAAACGGATTCTTTCCCACCTCAGAGTCGCCGCTGCGGTCTCCCAGGAGCAGGCCAGCCAACTCTTCTTCCTGGAATTGAAAAATTACTGTTGCCTTGCACTTGTCTTACTCTTCCCGCATTTCTGTCTGCCTCTAGATCGAGGATTCGAGCTGATGCCGTGCACGGCTCTGGTGGCCCTGATGAGCATCTGATGTCCTCCAGAAAGTTTTCGTCATCGTCCTCATCATCCTCTCCGCTCTCACCGCCAGCACTGGTCGGCGATTGGTCCTGCTTCTTGACTTGGTCAGAGATTCTACTGAGTATTCTGATGTATTCTGTATGTTGTACATAGTTTAACGCCTTGCGGAGTATTGTTAGTTTAATATAGTTTAACAAATATCAACAAATTGCAAACTCTTTGGTGTCCTCTATGTGTCCTTTCGCTACTTTCTAACAACTTCGACTAAGCTCAAAACTCTAAGATGGTCAGGTTTGTAGTGGGTCTTGTGCTTTAAGTCCAAGCTCTAGAGTCCACAAACCAAGAACTTCAGTGAAGCACCGGCCAGGACCTTTTTGCAGGAGTCAAAGACCATGCTTGAATGCGAGAAGCTGCTGCAATGCGCAACTTTAAATCGTCAACTGCTACTTGGCTTGGGGTCAAAGGCACTTGTTACACTGTCACACAGAGCATGACGTCTAAGAAACAGAATGTGTTAAGTGCTCAGACCCGGTTCCAAAACCTCCGAGCCATTAAATCGTCAGAAATGGTCGTGGAAGCCCTCAAACCTCCTTTGGAAAAGTGGCAACGGCAAAATCAGCTGCTAAAGGACTTTCCACTTCTGAGTTGCTAAAATCTGCAGAATACCTACAGTATCCACAGTTAGTCTCCAGCAACTCTATATCATATCTGCTTGCAAAATCAACTCAAGGAAGTTGGAAAAGAGCATTCATTGGCGTCAACGATAGAACTGTCCATCGTGGACAAGCACGTCGACAAGGAGTTGCTGGACACTGCGAGCTACGAAAATAATCGAAAATATTACATGCTGACCTCTCAGAGGCATGACACCAAGTAAGACCCTTTTTCAGTCAGTCACAAAATAGTTTCTAGGTCGTGAATGTCATGAATTTGCTCACTGAGCCCTCTTCTAGGAGGAGACAGTATTGGCTCTCCCCGAACTCGTATCGGTTGCTTGTGCCGACAAATCGGGCACTCCACCTGAGAATGCTCACATTGCCGCTTGCACATCTCCACGATGCAGCTGGAATGAAAAGCGTGGTTGCAGTACAGCTGTCCTTGGTTTCAGCGCTGCCAGGTGCATTCAACTTGTGAATGTTTCGTTTCTGTGTGCAGGAACTTGAAGGGCACCGCATGACACGTCGCATACACAAACCACTGGAGATGTTTTTTGCATGTAAAAAAGGCACGAGGGCGAGCAGGTTATGAACCCAAAGCTCGCACAGGCCAACCCTCGGCCCAAGCAATGGACATAGTCATTTGCCGACGACGTCGGACGAAGTCGGCCTCGAGGTTGAGGAGGAGAGTGAGGGACTTGGAGACCCTAGCCACGAGCTCCACGAGCTCCATGAGTCCTGAGGTCCACGACGCACCTCACTAGATTGGGAACCAAAGAGTGCTAGAAGGGTGGGCTTGCTGCCAGCACAGCCGGCGAAAGTGGCACGACCTGCCTACGTGAAGAAAATGGAAAGCCGGCTCAAGTGAGCACTGCAACGGGAACGCCTCGCAGGACCTCGGGTACATGTGGGCTCTCGCTAAGGGAGGCAACGCAATGGATGGACTACATGCTGGACAACAAGTACACGTTCAGCTTTGCCACCACCTCGAGGTCTACGTCTACATGGGAAAGAACATGGGATCCTACAAGTAGAGACCTTCAACTACAAGTTCGTGTCTTACGGGAGCTCAGTGGTATGGCGTGGGGTCTCGCTATGACAGCTATGAAATGGGTCTTGACGATGGAAGAGGAGTCGGAACATCACACAAATCGAGATCAGCAGTTTGAGTAGCTGCAGATGTTGATGGCTGGCACGTCAAGCCGCGGTGGAATCCAGGCTTCGGTGGAAAAATGTGCAGTATCAATGATGTTAGCTCCCATTCCACAACCGCTGAAGGATGATCTCATTTCAACCATGGCATTGACGCCACTCCAAGTCACCATTGCCAAGTTGACGACGCTGTATCAACCTGGACGGATCTTTGAGAAGACTGTCATTCTCAAGCAACTTAGAGGAGTAAAGAAGGACTTGGAGAAGGCAGCTCAACTGGTGATTGTCTTGACTTCCTTCCAACGGGTCCATGGGGTCTTGGATGAAAATTTCACAAAATTTCACAGAAGAACAACTCAGCAGGTCAGACAGGAACACTATCCATGATCTCCAAAAATGCAGGTCACGAAGGTTTGCACTAATTGCTTCCACTGACGGCCAGCGGTTCAAGGCAGAGGGGGACACAACGCCAGAGAGCCTATAAGGAAACTACCGTCCTCTACCAGGATCAATGAAGTGGCCGCTCTGCACACAGGCAGGCCCTCGCAGTGGGAGCCAATGCGAGCCATGGAGGAGATCCGTGAGTGCAAAGACGGTCGCTGAGACGGCCGCAAGAGCTTGAGCCTGCGAGACCCTTTTGCGAGCAGTGCCCCTCAGAGATGGCTCGAAGAGTTGGGAGGAGTGCAGTAGCTTGAGACAGGTCACATACACAAACCACAAATGCCGTGTTTTGCCCAAAAAAGGCACGAAGGAGACATACACACATATATATATATATATATCGACACAAAGAAAATGGGACGAAGTTGTCACTTGCAAGAAATTGCCAAGGACAAAAGAAGCAAAACCGCTAATAGTTTTGCCACAACTTCTAACACAGCAGGGCACGTTACCTCTTACTGGTGTCAATGAGGTAAACACATCTGCAAACTGCTGACACCAAATTTTAGTTGTAAAATCTTTCCTATTGCTGAAAACTAAAGCTACGCATAGTAGATGGCGAGCTATTCTTCAAGATCAAGTGAGAGAAGCTTATCCTCTTTCTTTTCCTTGATGCAATCTTTGCAGGGAAGGTTAATACCCCGTGCACACACTAAGCAGCTTGGGGGCATCTCCGACGTGCCAAACTCAATACAGTGCGACAAATAGCTTCTAAATGGATATATATATATATATATATCTACTCAACAATGGCCTTGGCATAATGAGCATAATTCCCCACACAAGAAGTTAAGCTATTGCATTGGTACCAACTCCGGTTGCTTGCGACCAGCATCTGGCATGCTCATCTTTTTTGATTGTATCCAGGCAAATCATGCAGATTGTCTCCTCATCCCGCAAGAAAATCTCCTCCATCGCAATTGGCGGCATGAGTCAGTCAGAAGTTATGCTGACGCTGATCCTGGTGAGCCTACCAATTCTTTTGGAAGGATAGCTTTGCAAATCTCAAATTTAATGAACATAAGAAAGAGTATGGCTTGTGGCCAGGGGTTGACGCAATCTAGCTGTGTGGAAAGTCGGCTGAAGAGAGCAGCCAGCTCCAACTCCTACAAACACATTGCCAAAGCAAGAGCAACTCCAGCTAGCTGTAGATTGTCAAAGCTCACATCGAATCATCGCATCCCATTCCTGTACTGACGCCTCTACATCTGCTTCAACGCCAACAGAGACTGTTGCTGCCTGACAAGGATCGTGCTTCTTCACAAGCTGTTGATTCTGTGATACTGAGTAGTTTGACTCGGCGTTCTGGTCCCGGCACAAGATCAAGATGACAAACCTGGAGTGCTTAGCTCATCCCTCATACCTTGAGTTTTGCGGAAAAAATCTAGGAACCCAATCAACCATGTGAGAGTTTTTTCCAGGAAGCTCCGCCCTCAGGCGGGGGGAGCGTCCTTGAAAAAGCCTGAGCTCTTCTTCCTTTTCCATGAGTAGCGACCTACTTAATAGCACTAGCCACTTACTTTAGTTACTTATCCCTCCTCTTCACGGCCTGCCCCCCGATAAAATGAAGGGTGCTGAATCAGTGCTGAACACGAGTCGAACAAACTCTTCCCAAACAAAACAGGCTCGTGTTCTGGCCGGACGCCTTGCTCTGTTCTTGCCCAGGGTCCGAGCCTGCGTCGACGGCGCTCGTATTGTTCGAAGACCAACCCAGCGGTAATTTCTTGCAAAGAATGAGACCTGTTAACAAGCAGCAAGTCCTTTCAAAATACTTTACTTTGGCAAAGCGGTTTGAGAAATATCTTGCTGGCTCCTGCATATATGACTACAAATCCAAGGGTTTCAGTCTGTATTTAGGACTCAGACTCTTCAACTCATTGATCTGGCAGCACTTTGGTTGAAGCCAAGAACTCTCCCAACACATCGTCACCTCTGTCTCTGTGCCCACGTATGTACAGCACAATGATGGACACAACTGCAAAAACCCCGAGGATAACGGCAAAGGAGATAGGCACAAGCATGACATCTTCCATGGACATGGCCGACCAGGCGAGATCAAGCGCAGTTCATCGAAACCGTGACATTACAACATCTGCTTATATGAAACAATACAATACAAAGACCTGTGCTACATCTCGCGTACTGCGTATTGTGGGGTCCTAGGTTCCTTCTATGTTGATGATATTTCCACAAGCCGACTCAACCCCTTGATGCATTGGGCAGGCAGGCATCGCCGGCTGCCTCTCCATCTGAAAGCTACAAATCAAGTATAGTCGGCTTCAGCAAGTACTGGTGGTCATGTAGCCACTAACATATTTCCAGCCGTCATTATGCTGCGGACAGTCGAAGAGTTTAAGGACCTTCAGGCTGCATAGGTCATGAAAATTTGCAGCTAAAGAATGAGGAAGAAAAACAAAAGTAAGATTTGCCAGGGTAGGTAGCCATGCGCGCTCTCCTCCGGATTCATTTCCTCAAGCAAATATTCAATCCTTGGTTGTTGAGATCCAGATTCCACTGGGGTTGGGAAATGTTAGACATATGCCAGTGTGAACAAGGACCCTTCGAGGAAGACAACTTGCAGATCCAAAGGTGCAAGTAGCCAAGTAAGTGCAAACAAACTTCAATTATCGCCCTGCCCTGGGCAAGTAATTCCCAAAATATAGACAAGGGAAACTTATATATTCCACATTCATACACACTATCCAAGCCAAAAAGTTCGCAAAACGCAACCCACGACCCAAAATGGTCACCTACCAACAAAACATGGGTCGACTACATGACCTTTGGGGGGATACATACGCGGCATAGGTTTGCACTGGCCTTCTCGAGGCGCATCAACTTAGCCAAAGGAGACAAACCAAAATGTGTTGACTACAGCAGAGGTAGACAGGTCTTCATACATTTTTCCCAGGAGTATTCTCACCGTTGAATTCCCACTGCCCCGAATACTCTGCTCGGCTAAACGCTCTTCATCTAGCTGCAGCCCCACCATGTGTGGAGACAATCTGCATCATGAACACACGTGGCCATCGTTCTGGAGCATATTTGGTTTATTTATCCCCTGCATTGCCATGATTTTGATGCACACACTGTCGACTGGGCACAAAGTGGTTCTCAGTTGGTCAAGGCAAATGTTGTAAGTTCTGTAACCTTGCCAGTGAGACACTCCAAGTCTGAGCCCAGAGTCTGTCTCACTGAGATGTCGTCCCCAAGGCTGTTTGCCTGGTGGCGTGCAAGAAGTAAGTTGTTCTAGTAAACAAAACATGCTATGTATCTGTTGTTTTAAGAAGAATGTGTGCTTCCCAAAAATGCTATGAGTCACCTGCGGGTATATAGTTAAGACCTCTTTATAAACCATGATGAGCCTAACGGTGAGTCGCCAAGAGGGCGCGTTGGAAATTGTTCCGAAGAATCTCTAGTAAGACGTAAGGAGTAGTTACGTACTAGCGCCGGGTTTAACTCACATCAGGCGGTGTAAAGTCACATCTCCCAATGGCACAGAGCCAAAACCAAGCCACATGGAAATGGTTTCTGGGCCTGCGAGTGGATAGATCGCAGCATTGCCTCCAAGCCCCAACGTTGCGCCGTCTCTCGGAAACTTGGCAGCGACAGCAATGAGTAAAGCCTCAGGATGCGACTGCAACACATGAAGTGTCCAAGTCACCAAAACCCAAAACTCTTAAACCTTCCAGTCACTTTGATCCCTACGTCCCTGTCTTTCACGATTGCCATTGCATCTACGGCACGTTCCATTGATGTGTGTCCTGGCCAGCACAAACATTTCGTTTCAAAGGCGACGAACAAGTCAATTATTGGCGCTTCAAATTTTGAATGGTGACTGACCTGGTTTGGCACTGTTGGCTGATGTTTGTTCCGATTGCGCTTGATCTGGTCCTGATCTGCGGATTCCAATGCCTCAATTTTCACAACAGTATATAATTACATCCTTGCCTTTGCATCAGGCACATGAAAGTCCTATTGGTGAAATGTTCCGAGAACAACAAGGCGGGCGAGGCACTCCATGAGTTTCATTGCAACTGGAAGCATTTCTTGCTGCTCCAAGCATCTCCGCTTCCCCGCGGAGCGCAGCGCCAGGTTCTGATGAACGGGAAGCCAAGGTGACGAGAATAAATAGCATAGCACCCCAAAAAAAGCATGCTTTGCATGAACTTCGCATGATTACATTCTTGCCAGCTCCAAGAAACAGTTGTGAACTGATGCACTTCTTTGAGAAGGCGTTGCGATGCAAGTTTGTGACAAAATTGCAGACTCATTGCCCACCATCAGCATCGCAGAACCAAACTCCAAGGAGAACTCCGATGGCATTCCATGGCCCTGCACAAGTGCACAAAACTCGAAGGCGAGGAAAGCCATGAAAAGTCATCTATATGATGTAATACTGTAATACTGTAGTGTATGTTTTGGATCTGCGCTCACATGCTCAAGTTCAGACACCCAAACCAAAAGAGTTTGAAGAAAAAAAAAAGATTCCTAGGGCATCGATACTATATAGAAACAAAGGGCATCGCTACTAGGAACAAGGATGCTACTAGTAGCTCCTGGCATCGCTATTAGCAGCAAGAAGCATAAACGATGCAAAACGGAAAAACATAATGGAAACTTTCCCGAGCGCCTCCGTGGGCGATCCCAAGACCTGGACGGCCTCACCCGGGGCACAGCGTTGATTATAGATCGAAAGCTGACCCCAGGGATCCTTGTGGCAATATCTTCAAACTTGAACTTGGTGATATGCGATTCTACATTGTCCAGTTTCCTCTACCAAAACACTGAAGAACTAAAGAACGGAGTCTATCAGCAGCACTTGAAAATTGAGGCCTGTGACGGGACCCTGTAGGTTCCGTGTTCTTCTCATGATCAAAGCAACTACTCGATTTCTCCGGTGCATTGGGGGGACGGCCCACTCCACCAAGCCCATCTCAATCATGTGGTCCTGCATCCGTTTTGGTCACAGATCGTCACGGACAGTTCTGGGGCCAATGGAAGCAAGCAATCCAGGCTCCTGTGCACTCCTCCTCAGGGACAGACGCTGCATCGCAGCCAAAGCCTGTATGTGCACCGAGGAATCCTGAATCACAGAGAAAGCAAACTCAGCAGGATGTCACAACAGAGGTTGTTATTGCACACGTTTCAATGAAAAGTCAATCAGGCTCCCAACCAATGGCTTCGACTTGAGCAGGTGGATCATCCTAACATGACAAGGATCTCGAAAAGTCAAGACTCTGGTCCTGGAGTAAAAGGCTTGGCAATTGCACTTCGATCAACAGGCCAAGTTTCATACAAGTTTGGAAACACATGTCTTCAGAGCGGGAAAGCTAGGAAGAAAATTAATTCAGTGTCAGACAATGTTCAAACAAAGTACTACTTGAGTGCAATGAAGTAAGTTTGCCCCGGGTGTGCTCGCCTCTGAACACTCGCGTCACTGGACACGATATAGCTGCGACCTACGGCCTACCAAAGTGAAAGATGTGAAGGCAGGGAACTCTGGAGAACCATCACTGATCGATCAATGAGCGATGGCTCAAATTGTACGCTTGAGTTACGTGCCTCACAGGCGAGCGCCGCCAGGATGCCAAGGGTAAGCTCTGATACCTCGGGATTGTCCAGCAGCGAAGGCAGCGCTGTGGGCAAGCAGCGGACCTTGGAAGTATCATTTTCTCTCAAAGAGAGAGAGAGAGATGCAAACATGCCTCCACATGTGCCTCTCAACCTGTAGAGAAGCAGAAAGAAGGGCAAAAAATCACACAGTTTAAAGTACGCATCTGTTCCATTCAAATTGTTTTCTGGATGGAACTTTGTCATCGATTGGATTGGTCGATTACTTTGAGGCCTGGACACCCAGCACATCGAAGCACGGGACCGCAACCAAGAAGCCCCTTCGCAAAGGCAACGGGGATTCTGCCGATGTAAGCCTGTGGATCTAGCAAAGGCTTTCACTGTCCATCTCACATAGGCTTTCATATGTCAAACATCAATCCAAATTCATCACCGTCTGTGGGGCCTTTGCAAAATAGCTCGCAGGACAGCGGGTAAGGTCGATGGCGGACTAGCTTCAAAGCGTTCCTGCTCTTTGGTGCCAGCCAAAAGTCATTTTTTATGTCTATTCAATTGTGCTATGTACTCTCACAAAAAGAGCTTGAAAAAGCAAGTGAATCAGGTGAACAAGAGGAACTGCTTCTCCTCGTGGGAACAAACAAAACGACGAAGTGCTGTAAAGTCTATCCTTGGCAGCTTGGCATTGGCAATCCCAACACCGTTTCTATGTCCAGTCTTCCACTGCGTCTTTTCTACAATCTTCTCATCTTCTCATCCCATCTCGTCCCAGTCTTTTGTTCCCAGTCTCCACTGGGGACCCTCGCTGGGGTAGCTGTGGCCGAGCGGTCGCAGCGCGGGACCGTACGCTGCGGGCAGGGCTCATAGGACAGAGCGGTCGCCTTGAGGGAAATGGAAAAATGAAGGGTTGAACAGACGGAAGGGATTTGATTGAAGGTATGATGAGGGATGAAGGGAAATGCAGGGAAGGTGATGAGGTGAACGAAGACTGTGATTTCGAGATCGGGATGTTCACCAACAAAAGTTGTACTTCAAACGTATCAAGCACAGCACACAACAATTGAATTCGGTCACTATGGTGAATGGAGACACTCTCTCAACAAATGTGTTTATATATCAGTGGAGTTTGGACACATTTTGGCCAACACCGAGTGGTGGATGGACAATTGCGCCACCCAAAGGAGGTTCGAGAAGTTTAATCATGTGCAGCCAATGCACCCTGTGACCTTCCCGTTCCAAGACTGAAATTGGAGCAAAGGCCTGAGCTGGGGATCAAACCGACTGTCCTGCGACTTCAACTGGAGTGCAAGACCTTCAGATGATCGCAGGACCAAAGTAGAATTTTGAGCTTTGTCGGAGTGGGAAGCCTAATGGGAAGGAAGGCCCCAAAGCTGAAAGCTCTTTCTCGTTCGTGAACCTTGCCCGAGCCTCCAGGCACATGGTCTCGCAAAAGCTCAAGTTGCTGTCGAGCCTCGCGTCCATGGTGCATCTCACATCTCACAAGTCCGAAAAAATGATCGACAAATGGCAGGAAACTGAAGGACTAAAAAAGAACTGAGAGGAAACAAAGAAGGTAAGGCCCCTTTTGGGCAGGACGTCTTGTTGTTTTTGTTTTTGTGTTAGACCTTGTTCAACACTCAACACTGTTTTCTGTTACCGATATGTGTCAGGTCCAGCGGCACTTGTGAGGACGGATGGCGCCACGGGTATCCCTTCCGCCAACCTCACTGCACAGGTGGCAAGAGAAGAAGGGAGAAGCCTCGCAATTTGCCTCAAACTAGACACAAACTGCAAAGCGACGCAAACTACTTTAACAGGCTATCACAACACTATTATTGATATTATACATCAGCCACTGCAGTTTAAAATCCGGATTGACTCGCTCCTTTCGCCAGAGCTCAGCTCCCGACAATGCTATGGCATCCAAGCTGGCATCAGCCAAGCGCAAAAGCTCCGCCCAAACAGACTGGGCCACAGTTGCTCTGTGAGGACCCTGTTCTTTAGGCTGAACACTACAACTCAAAGCGCAATGGCCGATCCTTACTGTTCAATTACCAAGTTTGCAGTGTTCCATTACCAAGTACGCTGCAATCAATCCGTAGACCCTGTTTTGTAGTCGTATAGCATGTCATTTTGGTGCACGTCTTTTGGACACAGCAAACTCAAGATCGGCGAAGAGTCGATGCTCTCCCTACCGTTACCCCGAATGTGTGTGCGGTGTGCATTGGGAACAAGGTAGCTACAGGCAAAGACGATTGACCAAGGCTGGAACACTTGCCCACAATAAAAAAGCCTACAGTGGCCTACAGTATTTCACAAACGCAAAGGGAAGAGTGCAACCTAAGGAGTGAAGGAGCCCAACTTCTACGCCCACTCACAAATGGGCTTGAAGCAAGGGAGTGAGATGGAGTGAGAGAAAGTAGCCCCTAGTAGCATTCTTGTTACTAGTAGCAATGCCAGGAGCCCCTAGTAGCATCCTTGCTCCTAGTAGTAAGGCCAGGAGCCCCTAGTAGCGTTCTTGCTCCTAGTGCATCATATGATCATTATCTTTCGCAACTTCCTGTTGATCTGTCGACCTTCAAGTGTGGCTTCTGTGCATTCAGACCTGGCTTGACCGGGTCAAAAAATGGGTGCAAAGCATGGAATAGCCATGTTGCATCATGATGCTGGATGCAACAGCAATGGACGATATGATATAGGTACTCTGAAAATTCTATTTGCTTTGCTTCGACTGCCTGCCATGGGCGCTTCCCATCGTCTGTGGGTGGCTGCCTACATCCACATCAACTGGGCATGCTAGCCCTTCGAACAAGCTTGATGCACGGGTTGGACAATGTACTTTCTTGAATGAAAAATGCAGGTTTCACGATCTTTCATCAAGTCCACCACTCCACGATGTCATAGAGCAAAGGAATAGGCGGTTGTTGCAATCGAAGTTCTGCCTCTCGGCACTTGCAGTGTTTGATGATATTTGTCGGTGCTCATCTGTTGCTGAATTCAGCATAGACAAACATGTGACTAGCTGAGTCATAGCTCCCACTTGCACTCTGCCTCAACATCTTTGCGAAGGTGCTGAAGCCAACTGTCTGAGAAGACCTCAATGCTACATTTAAGATCTACTTGACCTGTCTAGGACTGAACTTTTCCTAGCTCTGAAGGTCTGGATGCCTCCCGCACATCAGGGTGCGCATGCGGTCGCCTGAATTGGGCAAGTGAAACTGCTTTTGCCTCGCCATGCCATGACGAAACATCATGCAACTATTCTTGGCAAGTAACAAGAATGTTTTGGTAATAACACTACTAGCCGCAGTGAAACTTTCACCTCATGTCGTTGATTCCTGCCTAAAACCTGACCTGCCAATCTACAACGTGTCCAGATCTTTCAATTTAGTTTGCTGGTAAGTGTTTCTTGAGCAAGCGACTGGACGAAGGGAAGCGCAAAAAGAGGCATTAGTGCTTCATCTGCACTGACCTCAATGTCGCATGACTACTGAAACACTGGAACAGTGGAACACGCATCTTTGCCACAATAACAGGCACCTCATCCTTGCCGCACTCACTCAAGAAGTCCCGAAAGCGATCCAAGGCCTGTGAGAATGGGGAAGTGAAGAAAAATCTTCATCCATTCAAAGCCAACATTAAACATGAAGCTTTCTTGTAAAAACATATAGCTAATATGATAGAATCAAACTCCTTCTGCTTCTGTACTTTTCAGACTTGGACTCCGTGACCGCGTGACCTAATGCGGGATGTGTGATGCACAACGGCCTGCGTTTCGTGAGGTTCCGGTTCGCGGCCTTCCTGCGGTCGCTTCGCCACCCGTTGCCACCGTTGACCGCTTTAGACCACTTTAGACCACTTTAGACCGAAAAGTGATGCTTTTGTGTTCTGTTAATTGGACTTTTAGACGTTTGGACCATTTTTGTTGCTGCATCTTTCTTCATTTCTTTCTGATTATATAAGTGATTTAGCAGACTTGGTAGACCAAAAGGTGCATTGTCAAAAATGCAGCACCTGCAATGCTCTGCGCATGCTGTGAGTGGCGAAGTAAGCCTCTCAAAGCACCCCGTCCCTTCAGTGGGAGGGATTGGAAGAGTAGCCCTTTGGCACCTCATGATCTGATCATATTGGAGTTCTGGGTTGGTTTGAGTTCCGGCACCTGCAGCCGCAATTCGATGTTTCGCCCCACCGGCGCTGTTTGCCGCTCTTCAGGGACAAGCCGCTGCCACGCATCCCTGACATCAGGCGGAACTCTTGTCTCTCCGGATTAAAGCTTAAAGCTACGAACAATACTGGGCATTCCTGCCTAAAGGCCTTCTGATCTCCAGCATCAAACGTTGCAAGCACCTCCTCAATCTTGCTCTGGTCAACTCAGCATTTCCGATGATTGGCTACATACAAGTACCTTCTAAATAATCGATATAAACACATGTTAACCAATGTCTTGCTCGTCTTGTTCCCTTGTCCAACAAATCAACATCCGAAAACTCCTCAATGTCACGCACCACTTGCATCCAAATGCTGGGGTTGCGCAAAAGCCCGGCACCTAAAGTGCTTTGGATGTTTGATGTGATTCCAAGAACTCATTCATCTTGAATCAATTTGCTTTGAACCCCTACCTGCCACTTCTCGACGAAAAGCTGTGAGAGGCTCCTGTTTCTCAAGACATGCTTGTCTATCATGACGATCAAGGAACCAAGAACTTGTTGCCTCTGAGCCATTCAGGAACCTGTGGGAACCTGTCTGGCGTCTAGTGGCGGCACAGTGAACATGTTTTCCCGGATCCGTCCGCCAAGTGGTGGTAGCCGAGGTATTCCTCCGCTTGACTTCTAACTCTTCAGATGCTTCCACTGCATACGCGCAACTGGCCTCAATTCCTTTGATGATGGAGACCTCAATTGAGCGCTAAATTCGCACTGCCCCTCAAGAACGCCCCAAAAGTTGCGGACTCTAGAGCCAAACAAGAGCTTGCGCTTTATGCAACATGCCCTGCACCTCCCGTAGTCCAGCACCATGGTTGAAGGTGCTGAAGCATGGAAGCGGGACCTTGCCAAAGGATCGGATCACCCGAAACAAAAAGGACTTTCGGCAAAGAGCCAGCCGTAGACTGTGGTACAACAGACTCATCACCACAATATTATCGCAAACCCCACAATACATGTTTTTTCGTTCCAGCATTTATTGAAAGCAATGACAAAACAATGAGAAGCAAACAAATTGAAGCCAAATCCGGTCCAACAGTTTCTTTTCAATTTACAAGTTCCTTTTGAATCCTGCGGCCGGAAAGGGGAAACGATCCGATCGGGTCAACACTGGCGTCCAATTGTGACCTCTGCATCTGCTCCACACCTCGGCTGTCAACATCATCAAAGCGAGACACACACAATTCAAGAGAATATGGCCTCCAACCTGATAGTGAATATATGTTTTTTTTCACACTCCTTTTCTGGGCAACTGCGTGCCTAAGCGAACCAGTTTCGCAGATCACGTTGCTGCGCCTGGCAAGCTGTCCTCAGCTTAGCCGAGATCGAGACTTGACCCTCTACGATCCGGCCTCTGGCCAGGCACTTGCTGCACTCCGCCAGGTGGCCTTTGCGGATCATCACATGGCTGCTGTGTCCATGCCACATCTCTGGCGGAAGTGGGCCATACCAACAGGTCTCACCGATGAAGCACTCAGAGGCTTCCTCGTTGGTTCTCGCCAGGATGTAGGCGCGGCATTGTGTGCACCTGAGGTATGCCTTCTCCAACCGCAAGTGGTGAACCCCTTGCTGCGGGTTGTCTGAGCTTGGATGAGGTCGTGTATCACACTCATCCTTGGAGGTTTGGTCCGCAGCTCTGGAGCTTGAACCGTGCAAGGAGCCTGCGTGGCTTGCTTCAGCTCCTGTAGAAGGCTTTTGGTGTGGACCTTAGTCCTGCAAAGACCACATTGCGCGCCGCTTCTGTGAGCCTCCCATTGGTGCCCATGCAAATCCGGTTTGCTTAAGAGCGCAGCAATCATTTCCTTCTTTTGCTGGACCAGAGGGGCTCGTCCTGCCACAACTGTCTCATCCTTGTTCTTGAGGAAGTGAGTTGGATCCCTTAGCAGGGCATCAACTCTCTCAGCTGCTTGAAGGAGGACGTCCCCTACATCTTCGTCTATGGCCTTTTGGTAGGCCAGGAACTCTTGAGGCGCTTCGCCTTGAGCTCTGGCTTTGGTGAGGGCATGAATGGCATGAGCAGAGGTGACCTGCTCGAAATCCTCGAAGTCAAGACCAGCATAGAGGTCAGGGAAGGTCTCCAGAGCCACATGAGGGGTCCAGGCTTTCCAGACTTGAAGGTTGCTGATGGCAACATGAACTTTGTCCAGCGTCATTAAGGCAAGATGCTTGAGAGCATAAAAGGTTGCCCTGGCTTTCGTGGCCGCACCTGGACAGATGCCCGTGATGGTGGCAATGGCTTCCTTGGTGGAGAATCTCCTAGATGCCCAAACCGAAGACATATTGTTTGCGACGCTTGTCAACGCAAGTGGCCACCACGTCCAAACAGCAAGCATGCCCATGATCCAGGTGGCATGGCTGGAGGTTTCTCCATCTGCCGGCGCCTTCGAAGGTGGCTGGAAAGGTAGTTGGGCCAGCCGGCGGTGCCAGAGTTCCGGATCTATGCTCTGCTGTATTCGATCTTTCCATTCATCAGGTATGGACTTCACTTTGCCTTCCCAAAAAGAGCACTCCCAGATCAAGTGGGTGACAGTGAGTTCGCAACCACACAAAGGGCAATTGCCGTCGATGCCATGCAAGGTGCCCTGGTGGAAGGCTCTGATCGCAGTGGCTAGCCTGTCACTGGTCTCTTTCTGGAGCTTGTTGCTGATGGTCCAATCGAGGAGCTGTTCAAGATATTCACAGCCTCTATGCCTGGTGATTCTCATCAACCGTTGCCAGCGAAACTCTTCACGTAACTTCATTTGAACCATGGGCCAAAGATCATCAAGAGAGATGTGCCCGTCCGGTATGGCCCCCCATAGTCTAAAAGATAGGCTTGAAGTGCTTGAAGTGGACCCACAACCACCTGCCATTTATACTTGGCCTGTTTGAGAGCACCCAGAGCGACCTGCCATCTGGACCAAAAAAGGTGTTGCTTGCTGTCGTCAAAGCTGTGGTAGATCTTCCAAACCGTGTGGATGTGCTGCACGACAACTGAGTCACCAGGATCAGGATGAGCCTGGTTGGCATCGAACACGACGTCAACAGATCCTGCGCGTTGGAGCTTGAGCCCTCTGGCAGCCATGACTCTGAGCTTCTGACGTCGTTGAGGCGCAAGGCCATTAGCTTGAGCTCCCCAAGTCATGACGGGATGAATGGCTCCTCTGTCACTTCACTCCTTGGGTGATTTTGAGGCGGTGTGCGATCCCTGCACGGTTGCTGCCCTTGAGGAACCTTTTGCGAACTTGGGGTACCCGTCTCCTCTTTTGCGGCTGCTGAGTCGACTCCCAAGTCTCTGAGCACATCGTAGTGGGCTGGATCATGCTCAGTAAGCAGATCTTTGAGGGCCTTGGCGGTTTCCTTCGAGCTGGTCAAGAATCTGGTCTTGTCCTTGTTGAGCTTGAGACCACCGGCCCCCACCAGGATTTGAAGGTCCCGGAATGCCTGCACTGCTTCCTGCGTCTCTGCCTCTGACATCATAGGACACATCATCAACCCAAGTCTGTAGGAGAACAGCAGGATGATCCTTGAGCAGATCTTTGAGAGGTTTGTAGAGGATGAGCTTGGGAATGGCAGGAGCCTGAGGGCAACCTTGCAAGATGCCTTTCTGGTAGCGCTGAGGGTCAGAGGCGATCCCTTCAGCCTGGATGACCCTTGGTCCTCGGTAGAGATCCATGGCAAGCTTCAAATGAAGTGCCGGGTACTCGAGCTCTTGGGCCGCTGGGATGATGTTGTCCACGGTGACCGTGTCGTAGAAGCATGAGAGATCAGCCAAGCAAGTGACCGTGTGGATGCCATTGTGTTTGCAAAGCTCTGTGTGGAGCACTCTCCCGACAGCGACGGAGAGGCAATCCTTTTTGGGCCTGGCGTGATCCCAGGGCATGACAGAGTCAAGGGACAGCTGCCACTTGACGACCTCTTGCTTGCGGACACCGTTCCAAAGCCTGTAAAGGCAAGAGGTCAAGGCAATGGGTCTCTCCACTTTGAGACTCTTGGGGATCACGACGATGTGAACCATTCTCAATTGCGTTGGCACAAAACTTCTTGTTCCATCATGTTCAACAAATCCGCCAGTTTGGCCACAGCAGGGAACGGAAGCTGCCTGAGGAAGTCATAAGAGATGCCATCAGGACCACATGCTTCGTTGGGCAGCTTGCGGATGATCTGTTGAAGGCTGAGCGGATTGATGGGGACCAAGGTGCGAGCGTGCTCGATAGCCTGCTCTCTCAGCTCTCTGTATCCATGAATGTGGCATGGTTCATCAACCGGTTGCCAAATGGCTCCCCATTGAGCTCGTCTGGCTTCCAGGCGCTCCTGCGGAGTGAGCCGTTTGGAGCCAGGTGCGGTATTCTTCCGAGTTCACACTTGCCAGCCCGATGTGTGCTTGGTGTTCTTGGGACTGGATGATGACCTGTAAGTTTTGTGGGTCTTGATTGGGATCTTTGAGCCAAGTTTCCATCTGTAGCGCAAAATCATCTTTGTCGAAGTTCTCTGATGCGTGCTGAGAGACATCTTCGATCATGTTCCTGAGCGCTTTCTCAACGTCAGCATGAGGGTTGCGATGGAGGACATTGACCCTTACCGCAATTTTCTTCGAGAAGGCTGGTCTTCCTTTCTTCCACAGCTGCGCTTTGTGAGGTCCTTGAAGTGGGGCAACATAGAGATCGACCTGAAATCCTCTGCCCAATCTGGGCGCTTGAAGTTGTTGAGTGAGGTAGAACTCAGACTGAGTGCACCATCTCGCCAGGTCAGTGCCAAGCCCAGTGATCTGGTAGTTGAGGATGAAGAAGGGCCCATTCTTCTCAGGGAAGGAGGGCCATGCCTTGGGCGGTTGAAAGGCTCTCCCAATCGGTGGAAAGGATCTGAGCTGCTGAACAGGGATGGCCGCGTGGCCGGTGTTGAGCGTCAACATCATGGCACAGTGTGGCTTCCAGGGAATATCGCAGTTGGGTTCAATGGCGCAGCTGCTTTGTAGCCCATTCGAGATCAAGAAGTAGTCCAGCTGACTTCCATGAAGAGTGGTGGGACCCTCAATAGCTTTGATCTGGGCTTTGAACTTGCTTTGGACGACCATGGCAGCTAGATCAGCCGGAGGATTTTGCCAATCACCTCCAATGACGAAGGGTGCCTTGAGATTGTCCAGAAAGGAAAAAAGGTTTGCCAGGATCTCGGCGTTCAAGGGAGATTGAAAGGGTTCTCCAGCGCGCAGGTAGAGTTGGATGATGGCAATATGCATGTCCTCCCGCTGTAGTCCAACGGCCATCCAACCATTGCCTTCTTTGATGAAGTGCTGCAGTTGATGGGTGTGGTGGTGGGTGGGGTGAAGGCAGAGAAATCCGCCTGTATTGCCACCTCTGCCTGCGTCTTCAGCAGGTACTCCAAGTGCTTTCCACCCACGAACAACAAAGTATTGCTGGGCCTCTTGAAGTTTTTTCTCACTGAGGTGTGTCTCTGGAGGAAGATGATGTGATCCGCTTTGGACCAGACCCAGTCTTGCACTTTCCTCGCAAAGGTGGTGACGTTGGCAAAGCACATCGGAATGGATTCTGCATTTTGTTTGCTCCGTTTGGTGGGAGGTTCTTCTTCCATGGACATGTCTTCGTCCTCGTCGGAAGGATCGTGTACCATCCAAACTTGCAGGGTTTGAGTGGCTTGTTCTTTGGAGATGTCTTCCAAGACTTGAGGGTACTGATTGTCGTCAGCGAGCCAGTAGGCATTGTCGATTGCCAAAATGGCGCAGTAGTGTCCACTTTCATGGGAATCACCTTGATGAAGTACCATCGCAACTGGTTTGTAGGTGGCTCTGTGAACTGAGATTCCATCGTCGGAGTAGGGAAGAATGACCCCTGTGGGGACATGCACCTCAGAGTGGTGTTTCGTCCATTGGTCATGCTGGAGTTGATATCTCTGCAAATGGACAATGAGGCTGTCCGGTGCGCCATAGTGATATTGGCCCACTTCTTCATTGGCCCACGCTGTGATGAGATCTTCAAATTCCGTCACCTTGTGAGTGGGTGGGAACAGGACGTTGGTTTTTTT